AGCTGGATGAGTGGGAAGAAGAAGAGATGTACCCCGTAGAGACAGACCCCCTGGCGATGCAGCGTGTTTCTGTTGTGTCTCCTCAGCAGCAGCAATCTGCTGTTGCTGCTCCTGATGCTGCAGCAGCAGCAGCAGCAGCAGCAGCAGCAGCAGAAGCAGCAGCAGCAATAGCAGAAGCAGAGTCTGATGAACCCCCTAAACTCAGGCCCTGGTGGAGGACCCGCTGGGGTGTATGGGGAGATTCATTCACATACAAAGGCAAGCATCTGCTGCTGCTGCTGCTGCTGCTGCTGCTGCTAGTGTTGCTGCTGCTGCTGCTGTTGCTGCTGCTGTTACTGCTGCTAGTGCTGCTGCTGCAGCGGTTGGTGCTGCTGCTGCTAGTGCTGCTGCTACTGCTGCTGTTGCTGCTGCTGCTGCTGCTGTTGCTGCTGCTGCTGTTGCTGCTGCTGCTGCTGCTGCTGCTGTTGCTGCTGCTGCTGTTGCTGCTGCTGCTGCTGCTGCTGCTGAGTAACTTGTATGGGGTGTGTGTGGGGGGTGTATGCAGGCGTACGTTATGGAATTGTTGAGGGGAAGGGGTGGACGCGGCTGCAGCAGCAGCAGCAGCAGCAGCAGCAGCAGCAGCAGAGGCCCCTGGGGCCCCGAAGGAGACACCAACCCCACGCAGTGCTGCGCTGCAGAAGGAGACAAAGAGCTGCTGCTGCTCTTGCTGCAAGGGTGCAGCTGCTGCAGCAGCAGCAGCAGCAGCAGCAGCCCCCTGCTGCAGCAGCAGCAGCAGCAGCAACACGTGCTGCTGCAGCAACTCCTGCTGCTGCTGCAGCAAAGCGGGCTCAAGCAGCAGCAAGAAAGTGAAACATTTATTACATTTTGCTGCCTGCAGCAGAACAGCTGCAGGAGACAAAAGAGAGACAGAAAGGAGACAGAAAGAGAGAGAAAAAAAGAGAGACAGAAAGAGAAAGAGAGAGAGAAAAAGAAAGAGAAAGAAAGAGAGACAGAGAGATAGAGAAAGAGATATAGAGACAGAAACGAGAGAGAGAGAGAGAAGAGCTGCTGCTGCTGTTGCTGCTTTTGCTACTGCTGCTGCAGCTGCTGTTGCTGCTGCAGCTGCTGCTGCTGTTGCTGCTGCTGCTGCTGCTGTTGCTGCTGCTGCTGTAACTGCTGCTGTGTCAGTGGCTGCTGCTGTGTCTGTTGCTGCTGCAGCGTCTGCTGCTGCTGCTGCTGCTGCTGCTACAGGTGTTGTGCTGCTGCTGCTGCTGCTGCTGCTTCAGCTGCTGCTGCTGCTGCTGCTGCTTCAGCTGCTGCTGCTGCTGCTGCTGCTG